AAAAAGAACAGAAGGATGGCGATCCATCCAGCTCCGTCGCCACCCTTTTTCCTTATCTCTGGATGCCTCCAATCCGCTTCTATGATCTCCATCCTCTCTGATCAGGACCAGACCCCACTACGAGTAGTGCTATGTTCGAGTTATGACAGCATAAACCTATCACCAACCGGGAGAATAGGGTGTGCTCCCGATTATCGGACTGGTCAGGAAGTTACAAACATGTGAACCAACCCACTCATGTCTCGGTTATTCATTGGAGTCGAGAAGAAAGCGTACGTGTAGGGTGCTTGTGCTTCAATGCATTAAGGACGCGGCACAGTGTCTGCTGTGTCGGTTTGGATTGACTCAACGCTGAGAAGACATCGATTGAACGCTGTGTAGTACATGTCATGGGCGTGTACAGAAATAGACTCCTTTTCAAACATCCTACAATGTGCAAGGCGTCTATTGGAGAGTGGTGAATACTAGGCTCCAGAAATCCGGTAGCCACAAAGAACGCAAATTTGTGAAGAGAGAAATGGTCAACTCCAATGGACCCTTGTTTTGCTCTTGTTGTGGACCTGTGGACCTGATCAAAACATTGGAAACGATAAGACCCACAGAAGATGTACATATCCCGGAACCAAACACAATGTAACTATTGAACCACCAGTCCCCGGGTGTGGCTCTCTGTGAGTGCACCATGATTGATGCAGGAAGGCCGGGTGTGTTGGCGGTCGCCAACGGGGAGAATAGGAATAGAAGGCATCGTGCGAAAAACAGTGTGTGTTGTTTGACAGAGTTTGCACAACCGTCTTCACCCGAATAGAAAGCACGGTCATTATGGCTGCATCTGGATTCTGGACTGAAAGTTGGGCCAAATGCAGCTATAATGACCGGGCGTTCTATTCAGGTGAAGACGGTAGGGATCACAAGGGGAGAACTCTGAAAGGAAATCAGGTGTGTAGTGTTCTTTTTTTGGTTTTTTGTTGCTTGCTAACCAAGGTGGAAACTGGATCCAGCGTCTCTTCAGCAGGTGAAGCTGACTTTTTTTTGTTTCCCCCCTCTTCTCTCACGACCCACTCGAAATTCAGTTCAACCACCCAGTAGCTCTGATGTTATATTGTCCGTATAAGATAGTCGCTGAGAGTTATGGGTTCCCAGCAGCCCAAGCCCAAGTGTAGGGCTGAGCCGTCGCTCTAGTCCCGCTCTACTCTGCATGGGGAGTAGGCTCGTAACCCCTATTGCAAGATGACAGGACCATTCTACCTGTTCTGCCAAGATCAACTAGGGGAGGCGTCCCAACATGCACCGCAGGAGGGTGCGGGGTAAGCACCATCGAGTGAAAGGCCTGGGGAATCGAACCCACAACCTCCTGAATGCCACTTAGGTGCTCTACCAACTGAGCTCGGGTGCTGGCCCAGGTGAAGCTGATTTATTCAGGAAAAGTACTTAGAAAACCGAAAGGTTTGCGTTGTTTTACTCCCCGCAGCTGCTGGTAGGTCCAGAACATTTCCACTTCCTTCCCACACTGGTAATCAGAATATTGAAGCGATGGGGGTACTGGAACGTCATGAGTTCAAATCCTCTTGGATGTAAGAATGTTGGGGGATACCACCTTCTTCCAGTACCTCCGAGCCTCTTTCAGTGCGGATTTCCCCTGCACACGCACATTTTCTGTTTTTTTGTGCCTAGCGCCGTTAGTCATTACGGTCAAGTAGTGATTCATCTGAAGTTCGATACTCCCTATTCGGATCCTCATGCACAATACAAACGTTTCTAGTTGTGTCACCACATCTCCTATGTCCCTCAGCGTGGTAGGAAATCGGAGGGGCACCCTGTGATGGCGGCATCCAAGTTGTGAAAATTGTAAAACCCTGAGAATCGCACAGTGATGGCCCTGACAATCTGGCAGTGATGGATTGGCAAATCGCCAAAACTTCAAACGCTTGACAGCCCTACTGGGCTTGGAAGTTACCAATCAAGTGGGAACAGTACATTCCTTCCACGAAGGGAAAGTAATCAACGCTGCTGTCTCGGGGTTCCTTGACAATAATGAGGAACTCATGGAGTGGGTTCTTGCCGTAAAGGACGCTGGAGCCGTTTTCCAACTCAGAATTGAAAAACAATCTTGATAGAAAAAAAGATATTGATGGGATCGATAGCAGAAGGACATCAAGTAAAGCAAAAGAAACATGAAGATATGCGACCTCTACGGAAGCTCCTTCCCTCTTGTCCTCTTTTTTAAAAGGTGACGACCTTGAGGTATCATCATTGAAGTGACCAGCCCCAGGTAATTGAAAATTATGTTATTCTGTTTGTCTGATTGCATCTGGACTCGAACTGGGGTCTGTATCTCAACAGTTGATGGGTGTGCTGACTGGGCTAGCCCCGTTGGTAGCTTCCCCTTCCCTCTTGTCCTGTTTATCATGTATTACTTTTTTTTCATATTGGTCCCTTGCTGAGTACCATTCTCTTCACCGCTCCTCTATGTTTACACAAGTTGTCTCTGTCTGGTCACATCTAAAATTTGCCTTTTTGTCTTCCGGGATACCCTATGCCGGGTTTAGGCCTAAACCCTAAACCCTATAGACATACCTTTGAACTTTCCTTGACGAATACGATCAGATTGCAGTGGAAAATTCTAGTGTGGCCTAAATATGCTCACTCTCATCTGTGTTTACATCGAGTCTGAGGAGAAATCCTTACAAGTCGTCCAGGTTTTGCTATCTCGCTTATGCATGATAATGTATTAGTACTGTTTCCTATGTCTTATCATCCGCTGTTTGGCCAATGTGAACAGGGAGGAGACTCAGAGTGGCAGCAAGAGTTGCATTCTTTGAAAGAGAATTGAAAATGGCGGAGTGGGGTGCTGGAACCCCTAGACTGAAATCCAGAAACTCAGCAGCTGGTCGATGGGCTGACACCTGCCTGTATCCAAGGTCGCCTATTACTGCTGGAGAGGAAGTAGGGTTGAGAATGACAGCCCACCGACAGAGAAATTACGAAGGGACGAAGGCTGGTGCAGAGGTGGAGAGCACCAGTCCTCACTCGAGGTCTTCCATATCTGCGTCACAGGAAGTAGGGATGAGGGTGATGAGGAACCTTGCAACAAATAGTGAAGGCAAGGAGTTCACACCACAGGTGGAAGGACCAGCACAACTTGATATGCGCTCTTCCGATCGGCGATTGATAGTTGCAACAGGTCATGAAGCTGAGGAGAATTTCAGGGCAGAAACCCCTCAAGATCTTCATGTAGGCTTTAGGGAGAGTTTTGATGTGGAAAGAACTGGCCGCCCCAGCCCGTCACCGTTGGCAAACGGCCTAGCCTGTCAGTCTGCCGAACATGTGGGAACTCCTGTGGGAACCCCTATGGATGGCATCTTCTCCCCAATAGATCTAGAAATGAGGGATTCCAACGGTGAGCATCCGACAAGAACACAACTGTCTGCGAAACTCGAGCCTCAGTGCTTGTTTATGACACCTCAAACCTCGTCTGGAGCCATGGCTGATGAATCTTTGCAATGTGCAGATGCAGATTCATTGTTGCGAGAAAGAATGACTACCCATGTTGACAATGGAGGCCTGCCACGGGTGGCAGAGGGGTGCATGTTACAAGCCATCGAGCTAGAAAGGCTGGATCTGCAACAGGAGGACAGCCTGTCGTCAGATTCTGATGTTGCTGAGCAGAGACATGGGGATGAATATGGAGACCAAAATATGTTATCACACCCTTGTAAATGGAATATAGAGCCGTGCCCCTTGACTTCTCCAATGAGAGGGGAGGGGACTCGACAAACCAGTACGGTCACAAGGATTAAAGGTGGTCCTGCTCAGGTCAGCGATGGTGAGTTTCTAAGGACAACTGATGATTGGGCTCAGGACTCGGTTCACCTGAGAGGTTGGAAACCTCTTGTTGGTGTTTCGGGACGAAGCAAGGGCACATTTCAATCAGAAGCATTGGTACCAAAGATTCCACCAGAGTTCAAATCAACTATATCCCCATGGCAAACAGTTGAGCTTGACTCCGAAGGTTCTATGGGTGGTGGTTTGCACCTCATGTCTCCTGATGCAGATCTGCCAAAGCGAATCAATTGGCCAATGTGTTTGAAAGCTCCAGAGAAGGAAGCGAGCCCTTCGGATGAGCAAAGACATCACGATTCTGATGATGAGATTGCAAGTGGATCTACTCAAAAGGATTGTAGATGCACCGAGGTGGACGATGATACAAAGGACGTTTGTACAGAAGTCAGTTTAGAAGCTGGTAGTGTGGTCGCCAGCTTTATTGAGCAGGGTTGGGATCATGATGCAGTTAGTAGTAGGGAGGTGCCGAAGCAGGTAGACATCGCTGATAAGCAAGATGAGCATCGTGTAGAACAGAGCATGACTGTAATGAGTGAAGATGCTCTTGACAGGGAAACGGTTTTGCGGCAAGTAAAGGAGGTTGAAGTTAAAGTGAATGATTGGGTTGATGTGGCATGTGGAGATGTTGTTCTGGCGGTAAATGTAAACAATTCCCTGAACAATGTCAAGCAGGATGGCGATGGGAGTGATCTTGCTCCAGTGGGGGAAACTGTTTTTACTGCTCAGCCAGCAAAACTTTCGCGGGAAATTGATTCAAAAGTGGACAGCATTGCTGATGCTGTTGCTGGTGCTGTCAAACTTGGTGAGCCTGTTGAAAGTTGCAAAGAGTCAGATGGTTTCCGTGGACGGCTTCTTACAGATCAAGAGGATGGGAAAGGCTGTGATAAGAAACTTGCTCCTTTGGCGAAGAGTCGAGTGAGAAGAACGAAGTCTGATGTACCATGGACATTTACGGTTGACCGTGCTAGGGAGCATATGAATGATCGTACAGTGGATGGGGAGCACTGTTCTGAAAGGCTAATGCTTTTGAAGATGGCATCAGAGGGTGATCAGGGATCAAGCTACCATGAGAGGCGGGATGCTTGGCTGAGAGAAAAGAGGAACAAGACTGACACAGAGAAGGAACACGAGCTGCAGATAATGGCAGATGTGATAGAGAGAAAGAAAAGCCAGATTTTGGGTCAGCTCTTAGAGCGTCCAGCAAGGCATTACAGATCGAAAGCTGTGCTCCCACTGGGAACAGTGGATGAAGATTCGGGATTTGGGTCTGCCAAGGAATGTGAGAAGTGGGAAATGGAGGCACAGGAGATGCTAAGGACGAATAGGCAGATGCGGGTTCAGGAGCTGCTGATGATTTGGAGATCCGAGGTTGAGAAAGAATTGGGCAGGAAACAGGTAAGAGGTGTTTCTCATTCCTGTTGCCAGTCCAGCTTATATGTGTAACATGTGGACACTGCTAGATAGTAGAAACAGTGTATTAGACATCTTTGAACAAGATTATCCTGAAGTCTGAGTCTACTGTAGGAAGGAAATACAGATCTCTCTCCATAATACAGTCTTCTGATGTCAGTGCGATGGTCTCCCTGCGTCCTCCACATTCAGGTGCATGGAGCAGAAAATAGTTCTGCACTTGTGTGTCTGCAAGAACCCCACTCTGCAGACAAGAAAACATGTCTGTTTTAGCATTGTCTAATTAGGTAGACCTGTTTTTTTGTGACAACGTGTTGATGGCATTACGGTGTGACAGGTCGTGAGAGGTGTAGTTTAGATACCCAGTAGACATTTGCCAGCGGATGGATGCAACAGATGGGTCTCCAAATCGAACCGATCTGCAACATGAAGATAACATATCATCAACCAACGTGTGGTCCCGAAGCTCCAGCTCTGAAACTAGACGCAAATTCATGCCGGCATTGTTTTGTACTTTCTTTTTGGATCTGGCCTGTGACCTTGTCAGGCCGGGCCATCAGGGCAGCCAGAGGCAGCCAGCCTGGTGCCGTAGATGCTTTTAGAATTCACCACTCCCAGCCCTGTCAATCAGGAAGAAGAAAACTTAGGGAAGGGGAAATGACAATAAAGTGGAGGGAAGGCAAGGGAAGGGGGTTCAGAACAGAGGAAATGAAGAAAGGCACGTATGCACGAAAATAGAAAAAGACTCTGAAGAGCAATCTACCATTGTTGTTTCTATCACATCTTCAATTTGTAATATGTTTCTCAACAGGTGGATGTGTAGTATTTGTGTACCATTCAGCCACCAGACAGGTACAAAATGCTCTGGAGATGGGTGCGGCATGCAACGTGACTCACAGAATCTCCACGATGAGAGGCAGTCCTCCTTGGACAAAGGAAATAGTGAGGAAGGGTGATGAGTGTGATGAGCATCCTTCTCAAGATAATCTAAGCATAGAACATCGTCAACCATTGCATCAAGCAAGATGGCTGGGAAAAGTACTGCTTGTTTAACAAGCACTCCATCAAGATAGGTTATAAAAACTTATAATTGAGCGTAAGGGCACTCACATGTCATTGTGAACATAAATGCTGGTGGGTACTGTCTGTGATTGAGCATCAGGAATGATGTGATCTTTTTCTCTGAGTCCTGTTATCCTGATTTAACCAATGCCGTGTGTTTTTGTTTTTGTTTTCCCTCAGGAGGATGACAGCAAAAGGAGTGAGGGTTTGCAAGCCCAACATCGTGTGGAGAAAGTACTTGAACGACTGGAGACCCTCCTGGATCACCACTCTCGTGGACCTCTGTCTGTCAGTGTAGCTGCAGCATCAATCACTGCCTCAATAAACAAAGCCCGCCGTGAATCGAGTCCGTTGCCGCAATCTCCATCAAAGGGGGTTGTGAATATGCAACACCCACCACGAGAACGGTCTGCTTCGCGGTTGGTGCATCAGCCCGAATCTTGCTCAAAGATTCCACCGAGCAATCATCACGATGGAGAGAGGTCTGTGGGGGGGGTAGGCTCAGGAACACCGCCTGTTGGGGTAACCCGTAGAAAGGGGGTCAGGGCGGTCTCTGTATCCGCATCTCATACAGGTTCGTCTACTGTGACTGCAAAGGCTTCGAGCCACAGCAGGGCAATATCAGCGCCATCACCGAGGGCTGCGGGGAGCTCCAGAGGGGTTGCCCAGCGTGTGATGCGCCCGAGCTCATTCAATGTAACATCATCAACCATGGCAGCAGGAGTCGTTTCAAAGACTAAGCGAACGACTGGGAAAGTGGCAGGTGCAGGATCTGTGGGAACATCGACTTCGAACTCCATATCGATATCCCTGTCCCTTCATGTGAAAAAGGAGAATGTCAGACCTCAGAAGAATACCTTCACTAAGGAGGATGTTATTCAAGAAGAGAGGTCGGACTTTGTGGTTAATAAAGTGAGCGCTAAGGCCAAACCGGGGCATAGGCGTATTCGGAGTGATGGAGGATGGGCCACTTTTGCGTCCAGTCCGATTGCACAGGTTTTAGAGCCTAGCATCTCCGCTTCTGACATGGCAAGAAACAGGGAAGGAAGCAAGCCTTGTAGGCAACCACCTAAGGTCGGGACCGGGGGGACTGTGCCCGGGACAGGAAAAGCAAGTGCAAGACGAACAGACTCTGGAAGGATGCAATCCCTAAGGTCGAGCAACACAATGAAAGGCACAGGGGATGACAGGGGGAGAAGAAAGGACAGGGAAAGGCATGGAGCTGATAGCAAGTCTGTTAGCTCTTCAGAAAGTGTGCATAGATTGCCTTGCAATGCCACAGATAAGCCGGCGCAGAGAAGGTGCAGTGTTGCTAATGAGGCTGATTGCATTAGTCTCTGTGGCTCAGCTTCACCGTCGATGGGGAAGGGGACTGAAGCACCCAAAGTGAGGAGCTTCCTTCGCAAAGGAACTGGCATTGGCTCAGGCAATAGAGTTAAGCCCGTGCATCTTGATTCCGATATGAAGTTTGTGATCACCAAACCGTACATGAGTCCTGAGCCGGTGGCGAGGTCCATTTCGGTTGGTGTAATAGAGCGAGCAAGGGTGACAGTCACTTCAATCAACTGCAGGATCGAGGAGAACGGGGATGATGATTCGAGGCATATAGGGGGGAAGAGGTCATGCACAGTAGCAGGGAAGATTAGGCAACGATCGAAGTCTGCATTGCCAAGAACCAGTGTTTCGACGGCCGTACAAGGGAAGGTGGTACATTGCGAGAGGCAGAGAATCACTGGGGTTGAGAGGATGGACATCACACCACACAGGGATTTTCCACAAGTGGCCGTTGTGGGTGGTCGTATGGTACCAGCAAGAAAGGGTGCAAGGTCACAGACACTGGGTTCTGAATCTCCTGTGCGCGCTACAGAGTTGCCGCCATCATCCTCTTCATGCCTGCAGGACAGTCCTTGTACTCAGCTGTTGAAGACTGTCCTTACAAAGGAGTTACAGGGCCTTGGCTCACGCTGTTGTCGAGTGTCCTCAACAGGGCCAAATGAAGAGGTAATTGCGGATAAGGAAACACATCTGGACACAACGGCCGCAGGTGTGGAGCTATCGCCATCAGCTATTCTAGCTGGCACTCCGGACACTGGAGCCAGACACATGGCATGTGTTTCGGGGAAGCAATCAAAAGAGAAAGCAGCAGGGAAGCAAAACCCGGTCAGTGCCAGCGTGCCAGAGAGTGCTTTGCAGCAGGGTATCCGTGGAGGGCCGAGAATGAGGAGGAAGGCAGGAGCTGTAGGCGGAGGGGTGATAAGAAAAGGCGAGTCGAGATTGCCATCTCAGAGGGACACAAAGGACACAATCGTACCTAGTGAATGGACCCAGACCCCGGTGAAAGATTGCGCCAGCTCGAAGAACAAGGCAAAGTCAGCTAATATTGCCTCAGCCCGTCCGCAGGCAACGAAGACAGGTACGGGGGAAGCTCTCTGGCCAAGGCTCAGCTCACCTTGGCGATTCATCAGGTGCTTTCAGGGCGTAGTAACCGGGCCAAGGAAAGGATGCGGGGAGAAGGTGTCTGAAAATTCTGAACAGTGGATGCCCATGAAAAACAGTGGGCTCGCTTGATGGACTGATGGGAAGTCACAACTTTTATGTGTGTTTTTTTAATACCGATGGGGACGCATGTCAGCGAGTGAGTGTTCTATCTTGTTCGTTTTCTGTCGTATTGGTGTCGCTGGATGTATATTGCAATGTTGATGAGCTGCAGAGGATGATGCTTGTTATGAAACGTACTGTTCTGCCTGCCCGCGGCCTGAGAAGTTAGAGCTTACTCTGAGTGAGCAATTGAGGCATAGGATGATCATGGCACCTGTAACCGCTTTGTTTGTTTCTCTCTTTTCTGTTTTTGGTTATACAGTTCTGTTCCACTTTCTTGCACATTTCTGGGTTCGTCTTAGTCCTGATGAGCTTGGAATGTGGTAGAATCTCTGTACAGAGTCGAATAGGTTTCGATGATCAAGCTTTCGTCTGAACATATGCTGCAGCCATGGACTGGGGGCAAAGAACTCGTCTTCAAGCACAAGAGGGTTACCCCTGGAGCATTCTCACTGACAGCAGCTATGGAATGCAACTTTGGAAATGATGGAGGTTGCCTCGCCTTTTCAGACTTGTCCATTCTCCGGAATAGGATTGTGAGACATGTGCGCCCATCTTCAAAACGTGCTGCAAGCCTAGCAAACCCCGCAACTGTTGAGGACGTGCTTGGGTATGTCGGGTCCTTAGGCTCCCTGCGTGCTTATGCTCACCCTACCCGTCAAGTATTCTCGGCAGCTCTGAAATTTTGAAGCGGTGGACGTGGCTGAGGTTGCCTTGTGATTGCCCACACTAGGCAATGGGCTTGTGGGGCATGTGCCACTGTCTTGCCATGAACCCAGACACTGCTGAGGAATTGGTTGGGTATATATGAGCACGCTGGTGCGACCCGTACCCATGGCATCTACGGGACGCAGCTCTGGAAATGATCAAAGTTGCATTACCATACATTGCCCCCGAGGAATTGAATTGTGGGGCGGTACGAATGTCTTTGGGACATGCTGTAGGCAGCTCCCACGAATGAGAAACCGTGCTTTTGGATATATTGTCCTGAGACTGCTGCTTGTTGACGGTCAGGAATTTCACGCATGGTGCGCATGGGCGAGGCCATCAATCTCTTTAGTATGGTTGCCCTGGTTTTGCAACTGTCGAGGTTATTTTTGTCTTTTCTCCTGGCAGCCTGTTGTTGCAGGGAAGCATGTTCAGTGCTTGGGAATGGCCAGTGAGTGACGGCTTTGGCACAGGAGCCAGGCAATGAGGATTTGCCAAGCAGAGGTGCTTACCCAGTGCCATGAAATACGAAAGCCTTTGGTAAAGGAGCGCTTTTATTTGAGTCCCAGGAAGGCTCCTCAAGTTCACTTTCTGTTCCGTGAGTTAGTTCCGTTCATGTTATTACTTTTTGTCAGCTCACTTCTTCTCAGTGTGTCACACATGTCCACTTTCATTGGGATACGTATTTTATCACTTTTTTTTAACATTCATTTGTATTGCATTTGTGCGTTTATTTGTCGTGTTTATTTGCGCTTCTCCATATGTTTTGCGCTTGGTTGTATTCTGAGGTTGGTTGGTTTACTGTTGGTTACTTTCCAGTTACTTGTTATCTGTTCTCCAATTGTTTTGCACATTACATTGGTAGAGAGAGATGTCTTTGTTAGGCAAATTGTCGCATTTGTTTGTTCATTTTGCTGTACTCTTGTTTTGCACTTGGATGTTTTCTGAAGTTGGTAGGTTTTTATTTCTGGTTCCTCTCTGGTGGCTTGTTATCTTTGCCAGTTGTTTTGCGCGCTAGCTTGTTTGGCAGAGAGAGATGGCTGTGTCAGGCAAATTGTCTTTCGAGAGCAACGCCACTAGCTTTAACCAATGACAAGTGAGGAATAGGCTACTGCTGTCCAATGGGGTGAATTGAACAGAACACGATCAACCACCGAGTATAATTGAGTGGATGATATGGGAAAGGTATTGGGGAAGCTCTTCCCAACGATCCGAGGGTTCATGTATCTTTTCCCTTTCGTGCTGCCTAAGTTACATTCTGTAAGATAGGAGTGGTGGAAAATTGGAAATGCAGTGGAAATATCAACAAGCATGTGGACAATCTGAACCCACAACAAGCACTGTTCTCAGGGGAGTCTCATTTTTGGGTTGAGTCTCATCTTTTGGAACGGAGGATGTGTTTTTTTTTAAGCAAGGGGTATTAAGGAGGAAAATAGCAGAGGTGTAGTTAACACTGTGCCAAGCATTGGGTGGTACTAAATGACCTCCATTCATGGTGACAAAATGAAATGAAAGCAAAACCAAAC